TGGTGTGGGTAAGTATGTCATCGATAGTGCAATGTGATTGTATAGATCATAGGCAGGTTATATCTTTTTTTGGTTCCCTGTTTTTCTACTGCAATTAGCTTTTTTTACATTGACGCTCGTTTCAGTTGTTCTTGTCACTACATATTGTGTTGTTGTTTGAAGTGTTTCTTGCCTTGGCAAGGCAATGATTTGGCAAGGTCGTCGATGACACAGGTGGTCAGCACTATCTACAACTAAATACATAACATTCAGAAATGTTTTCCCTAACTGCTTCATACTTTAAACTGATATGGACATCTTTTTATACATCCAATACTTTACGTGCTTCTACAAACATTCTTGTCTTCACACTTGAATACTGGTACTTTACCATATTTAAACTTTTCTAGCTCAGCCAACGGGACTTTCAAGCAATCGTTTTTTTCAAATTTATTCCAAAGCCGCAATATATACACGTTGTTAACTGTGTTCTGTGTGGAAACGAGGATAACACTCTTTGTATTTTATCATAAATATGTCAAGTACTAGGAGACTCTCCTCTTGGTTACACACTCCATTTGTTTTTGTTTGTCTTGATACTCGCATGTTGTTTTCATCAGATTTATTCTCAAAATTTACATTTTCAACATTTTGAACTCTCTCGGGGAACAAGAATATTTATGATCTGTTTTACATGCTTATTTTGAGAAAACATATTTATTGTGTACTCACCTAGTAATGTTATCTATCGTATGTGTTCATTGCATTGCAGTATGTTTGTTTTCCGTTTGTAAAATGCTCAATAAAGGAATCAAATAGCAGATCAATATTGACCATGATATTATATTCGGGTTTGTCTAGATAACTGAATTTCACGAGTAATTAGTTAATGGCAATCTTGCAAGTCGAATTGTTTAACATTACTAATATAAATCTTACTTTACAATGTTGATTTCACCTAAATGTGTTTAGCTTTTAATCAAACCATGTATATATTTTGCAGACATAGCTGCCATGGTCGTGACTGCATTGTCATGTCTACGAGACATGCCAGAGTTTGCTAATCATACGGATATAAATGAGGCACTGCAGCGAGGAATAAGCTATATAAATGAACATCAGGAATCAGATGGTAGTTTCGGAAATATACATGCATCGTCCCTTGCCTACCAAGTAATTACCACGTCCATTACACATGAAAACTGATATCATTACATATGTAGGCACATTCAGTGGTTAAATGTGTAATGTCTCATTTGAGGACCATTCAAACTTGTGGTCCAATTTGTTTATTTGTCGAATCGTTGATAATAATAATACTACTATTATTTCATACCAAGCAGTTCTTATGCTATCTGTGATAACATTGAATACTGATTTGATGTTATCAGTATTTTGATTTGCTTTCGAGACATTGAATGGTTATATGACATTTCAATATTAGGCTTATATGGCAGCTGGAGTACCTCCCTCTGAATGGCAGTGCACGGACCTTGTTAGTACACTCATAGACGAACAAAATCAGGATGGTTCATTCAAAGGCCAACTGATGGCGACAATTCAGGTACTGCCAACGCTAGCAGGAAAACACTACAGTCACATCAACACAGAAATGTGCCCCACAGAGGAAGAAGGTACGAAATAGTGTGTTTTATATTTGATTGCATACATTAAAATCGACTGAATGTAATGTGGCCACCACTGTAACATTCATTTTCGAAACCTGACAGATATTTTGAATTATCTTGTATTTATTTTGTAATTCTTACAATATAACAACTAATAGTAACATGTTAATCTGAGGATTATATTGTATAGGCTTTAACATGTACATTTCATGGTACACTTGTGTGGCAGTGACCATTGGTCCGGGTATGATCTGGCAGATTAATATGTTTACCTGACAGTATATCCTTACATATGAAAGGCAAAACTGACTTAATGGTTCACTCACAACATCACAAGAATGAAAAAGATGTAATCGTCGTGTTTGTGGATAAGTCAGAAAATCGACACTCTGCACAGTTCGTGACTTTTCATACTTGCATAGTGACTTAATGAGTTTTTGCTTTAGAATTGCATGGTCTGCAAGATAAGTTTACAATTACCATTCTGATTCATACTAACGCAATTCATTATCATCTGACCCACTACAGACTATTGCTCAAATTAAAACTATTTTAGTAGTTACTTAAAACGATTATCAAATATTATCTTCTTTCATATGTATTGGTCTGAGCACTACTTTTACGACTGTTATAGAACTGGTTCTATCATGGCTATACAGCCACCTGCTTGTACTTTTTTTTATTAAATCTATATTTGTATTGTAGTGATTACTTGAATACTCAATGCAAGTTTTTCAATCCACTCAAACAAATTCTATATCACATGATTTTCAGTGCATCAGTAATAATGTAAAGTTGACAATTTTACACTGTTTTCCGTATTGCAGTGAAACGCATACTTGTCGCCATTATTTTAATTACTTTATACTTCATGGATTCTCTGGGAAACTGCTGGGTGTTCCTTATTCATATCACACACACTGACTAATTATTGACAATCATCACTCAAATAACTGTGATCATATCCCAGTCTTCTGTGATTAGTTCACCCTCATTTATTATTTACATAAATGATCTACCTAATGCCTGTAATTATTTGTCATGTTGATTTTCCACCGATGATGCAAAATTTAATATATTAATTCCTCTATATCTGATTGTGGTAAATTACACATGTATAGAGTTTATTTATGGTGCAATAATTGCAAATGTAATAATATTTTCATTCTCAAACAAGAGATCATCATTGCATAGACTTTAGTCTAATTGGTGATTCTCTTATTTAATCATTGCAAATACAATATTCTCATTCTCAAATAAGAGATCATTTTATATTCTTAAAACTGAACTATTTTGATAACATCGTTCAAAAGTATTTAAAAACCCATTGCTTAAAAGGTGACCCCCCAAATCTAAACACATAAATCAAGCTCTGCGCTTTTAAATTTACGCTGCGATACAAATTATATATTAAATGGTAAACCAGAACTGGAAA